GGGGGGGGGGGGGGGGGGGGGGGGAGCCAGAAGTGGACATTAGGAATGCGAAGAAAGCCGACCAGGGGCGAGGCTCCAGGTCCAGCGCCCTGGAGGCCAGGGAGAAGGCCGAATTAGGTGAGCAGGGGCATTTAGAGTGAAGAACAGTCCATGGAAAAACAGTCTTGCATGTAAGATTGGAAAGCTACGTTTGAAGTATCCTTTCAGACACCATGCAATCCCACCGAAGAGGACCCAGCCTCGCTCTCCTCACCACGACCCCTTACCCCTGCACTAACTCAAACTTGCTACCCTTTGGAGATTCCTTTCTCTGTCCCTCTCCAAGTTCTAAAGTCAGTGGATGGATCAGGCTGCTCCCAAACTCCCCCACACATACCCTTACTTCTTAAGCTTTGCTCTCACTTTGGTAAAAAAAAACCTTGGTGCCCAAAAAAGATTTCTCCTTCATTGCTTTCACTGGGGAATAGCACTCTCCGTTTGATCTCTTTGCACTACGAGGTGTTTTTTTTGTTTGTTTTGTTTTTGAGTTGGAATCTCACTCTGTCGCCCAGACTGGAGTGCAGTGGCCGCTCCCGGTCACCGCAGCCTCGACCTGCTGGGCTCCAGCGGTCCTTCCGCCTCAGCCTTACAAGTAGCTGGAACTACAGGCGCGCTCTACCACACCTGGCTAATTTTTTTATTTATTGTAGAGATGAGGTCTCGCCAAGTTGCCCAGGTGGGTCCCGAACCCGCGGGCTCAGGCAATTCACTCACCTCAGCCTCCCAAGGCGCGGGAGTACAGGCTGAGCCACCAAGCCCGACTACACTATGAGGTTTTAAACTTCATAAACTGCTCTCCTTTTTTGCTTTCAGCCCTCTAGGACTCCCATATCCCTCCTCACTGCATTCTAAAGGTCTCCCACCATGGCCTTGCAGAATGACCCAGACTAGACCTTTTTGTTCCCAGTCTTCTCTCCTGTCCCCATTTGGGTCCATCCAGTTGGAGATAGCTGACTGCAGGCTGAAGGAAGCTCTAAGTTAGGTTCTAGGCATCCCTGTTTGGCATTCCTGGACTTGACCTTTGGAGCAGGGGAAAAGCAGTTGCTGAGTTTTGGAGACCCTAGAATGGGGGCCAGCTTGTACCCCTATAACAGGGGTGGGCTGCTAGTGGCTCAGATTCCAGTCAGATGCTCCGCTCTCCTTTGGCTACACAGCTCATGATGACCGGGTAGTAAGCACTGAGTGAGGCCCACCCTTTTCTTATTTCCTCAGCTGGCCATTGTCAGTCTCACCCTGGCCTGCCGAGATGGGGAGGGTGAGCAATACAACCTCTGCAAAATCTTGGCCCGATATGCTGAGAATTCATTATCTCAGCTTTGTGGGGGGAGGACAGAGGGAGGTGCAGGGATGGGGTATGGGTTCCTATTCCCAACCTTGCCAGTCTACTTGGGCCAATTGTAACTTTATGTCTTCCCCAAGAGCTTTCTAGGGCTTTGGTTTTGTTTTGTTTTGTTTTGTTAATACTAAGAGTCGTTTTTCTGTCCTGGGGTACATTGTGGGATAAATGAAATGAGTTATTGTACCTTGAAATGCTACTAAAGGGCCATTGCAGAAATGCAATTATTACTGTGAAGTTTAAGGTAGAGGAGGTTCTGTGGTTTTCTCATCATTTATCCCAACAGAAAACTTGTTCTGGGAAGGTCTTTTTTTTCTGTCCCTGTGAGAAGTTGGCATGTACATAAGCACAGTAGCCAATCCAAAATGGGCTCTTTATTGGGGATGGGTTGGATCACAAACCAGAGTCAGGGTGGGGCCAAGGGGCCACCAGGCAGTACTGCCACAGTTGGGACTGGAAACCTTTCAGGTAATTAGGGAACCCCTTTATCAGGCTCAGAGTATTTGCTTCCTCCAGTCACTCCAAGGCCTGTCCCTCTCCTCGTTACTGACAACACCCCCAGACCCCCTCCATCACATTCCTCTTCTTCCTTTGGGTCCTTCGTGCCTGCTGACCCCACACCCATATCCTGTCTGGGACTACATGTAAGAGGGGAAAAAAGAAAAGGGAAAAGAATTTTATCAGATATTTTCCAGAGGGGAGAGGACTCCACCCTTTGAATCTCTGCCATATGGTGACCAAGGAGGAATAGCCTTGGGGACCTCTGACTAATTCAGTGGTACACAGAGCTTCCCCCTTGTAGCTGGCACCACCTTTGCAAATGCGTGTCTTCAGCGCATTCCTGTTTGGCTGATAAAACAAGCAGGGGACTAGGGCCTCTTTTTCTTATCCCTTTGGCTCCACCTCCTGGGCCTCATTCCCTTGTCTTCATCTCCTTCCTTTGCTGAGTCTTTGTCTCCAAAAGCTCAGGGTAACAAGTGCCAAACTGCAGCAGATAAACTCAGCTGCATAGTCTACAAAAACAAATAAAAAGGAGGAACAAATTCCACTTCTTACACGGTCAGTTTTATTGCCTGATTTCCTTTAGACCCCAGGCTGGAGGGCCTGGGTTTACTTTCAGGGCTGGATGGTTACCCAGCTCCACCCTCAGGGTACTTGGACCTCCCTCTCTCATTGACGTTGGCTGATCTAACTAAATGGCCTGCAATGTAGAGAACTAAAAATGTGAAGGTATGGAAAAAGAACAAACACCACCCTCCAAAAGAAAATTCTCACAGTCGCCAGGACTGTGAGAATTCCATATTTTCCTGGACTTCAGACTTCTCTAATGAGAACATTCTCTTCCCTCCTTAACTAAGAAATGAAAACATGATCTGCAATTTTTAGTCCCGAGGGCCCCAACTTTGTGCTAAGAAGAAAGACGCATCTTGGAAGGACTGAGATAGAAACAAATAAGGGTGCATACCAAGGTGTACTTCCTAATACCTACACTCAGGAGCCCATCAGGGGATGAATCACTTCCCTTCAGATGCAAAGGAAAAGGCCTTTTGGCTTAACTAGGAAGTCTGCTTCTTCCTCATTTGGAAAATATAATAAAAATTGATACCTTTTAGAGGGGTGTGGCATCTCTGGGTGGTCAGTTCCATTGTTTAAGAAAATGTCTTAATGGGTCTTTGTGTGAGAAAAGTCTAGAACCTCAGGCAATTTCTGGATATGCAAGGTCAGCCTTAGGCTGAATTGCTGAGTTTTCAAAAATAAAGTGGAACCTTCTGTTTGGGTGAACCCAAGACAAAGACTGAAGGACTCTAGAGCCCAGAAGAAGCATAGAGAGGAAGAAGAGGTGCCTGGAGTAATAGTGGAACAGTGATGGGTAGAGGACGGAAAAGACTTGACCAAGGATGGGTTCATTAGCACAGTAATATCTAATATTTTAAAGATATGCCATTGTCTCTTCTGGGCTGCCCTATAATCTTGTTCCATGCTCACATCATCCGTAAAAATCAGCTACACATTCTAACCTTGAGTTAGTGGTTCTCCGGGGAAACTGACGGGAGTGTGTGTGCCTAGCTTATGGTGAAGTGGTAAAGTTCTGACGACAGAGTGGTTGGGATCCCAGACATGCTATTTGGATATAAAGGGGAATCTCAGTCCATTGGAGACCCTCAGGTCACAGACACATGGTTTTATACTCACCTCAGTTTAGCCTCTGAAGCTAAAGAATGCGTCAGCCTGGACCTTTGTTTGAGGCCAGAATGACTAAATTGATGGTAGACCTCAGGACTGGAAGGGAACTCTAACCAGGATGCTTCCTGAATGCTTCTAATCATTAGTTTTAATTCTGTTCTTTGGAGTGTCACAATTTAATCTGTTCTTTCATGACCTTTTTATTGGGCCCCACTGGATGACAATCTCCTTGAAGTACTTATTTAAATTACAATGACATACCTAATAAAGGAAAGGGATCACCTCTTTTTTTTTTTTAATGGAGTCTCACTCTGTCACCTAGGCTGGAGGCATGCCCACAGCCACCCCGGCGTCAACCTGCTGGGCTCCAGGGATCCTTCCGCCTCAGCCATCCAAGTAACTGGAACTACAGACGCGTGCTATTATGCCTGGCTAATTGTTTTTATTTACTGTAGAGAAGAAGTCTTTCCAAGTTGCCCAGGCTGGTCTCCAACCCATGGGCTCAGGTAATCCACTCAACTTGGCCTCCCAAAGTGCTGGGATTACAGGTTGAGCCACCGAGCCCAGCCCACCTCTTATTTTGCACACTCCACAGCACTGAGAGAGTTTCTGTACATCACTGGTGCTTAAGAAAAGTAAGAATGGGTATACAGATTGGCATCCCTCATCCAAAATGCTTAGGACCAGAAGTGTCTGGGGTATCAGATTTTTTAAGATTTGGGAACATTTGCATAAATGTAATGAGACATCTTGGGGGTGAGACCTAATTTTTTATCTATAGCTTATATACGTAGCCTGAAGGTAATTTTATACAATATTTTCAATAATGTATATGAAACAAAGTTTTGACTGTGTTTTGACTGCGACCCATCACGTGAGCTCAGGTATGGAATTTTCCACCCGTGTCTCACGTTGGTGCTCAAAA